GGGCGTCCCTGGCAACAGTGGAGATGCATTGCAGTATTTCACATATTTCCACACATACATCACTGTCTCTCTAACCTGTACAGGTTGGTAATCTCTGGGCATCCCTGGCAACAGTGAAGATGTATTGCAGTATTACACATATTTCCACACATACATCACTGTCTCTCTAACCTGTACAGGTTGGTAATCTCTGGGCATCCCTGGCAACAGTGGAGATGCATTGCGGTATTTCACATATTTCCACACATACATCACTGTCTCTCTAACCTGTACAGGTTGGTAATCTCTGGGCATCCCTGGCAACAATGGAGATGTATTGCAGTATTACACATATTTCCACACATACATCACTCTCTCTCCAGCCTGTACAGGTTTTTAATCTACATTCATCCCTGGCAACAGTGGAGACGTATTGCAGTATTACACATATTTCCACACATACATCGCTGTCTCTCCAACTTGTACAGGTTGTTAATCTACAGGCATCCCAGGCAACAGTGGAGATGTATCGCAGTATGAAACATACTTCCACACATACATCACTGTCTCTCCAACCTTTACAGGTTGGTAATCTCTGGGCATCCCTGGCAACAGTGGAGATGTATTGCAGTCTCTAAGATGCCTAGCGGTTAGAACAATCGAAAAAAAATACATTATCAGACAATAAAGGTATAGTTTTTTGATGACGTAACAATTGAATGACGTTATCCCGTCACTGCGCCATTCTAGTGTGACCCCTCGTAATCGAACCATTTTACATTACGTCACAATGAAAGCGACGTCACGATGCATGTCAGTTGTCATCGCCTCGTGCGGCCTCCTACAGTAAACTACACCGTTACATCCCGTTTCTTGGTTTGCTGCTGCTTCACCCAGCTAATGTCACTGGTGGAAACATTACGTTTATGTTTTACGACGGTTAAAATGTCTCAGTTCGTCTCACAAATTTTCAGCGACACGGTAACGTTCGCAATTTTTACATTCCCACAATGCAATCGTGGAATGTCGCTTGACTACTCAACTTCCTCTGGATGTGCTGATCTAAACTTACGTTGGTAGTAGAAATGCAACGTTCATATTGCCCCATATGGTTTATGTTAATAACATATGTATTTAAAATAATTCAGAGAAGATATTTAATCCGAACGTAAACCGTCATCAAACTGTTATCATTTGTTTTTTTCTGGTAACGTTCGTCTTAACGTAGGGGGCAGACACATCAATAGAACAGCGCGCCAGTTACCCTGTGCGAGGATTTTTAATTTAGGTCGTTTGTTTTCTGCCTTAAATTAATCGTAATTATCCTTAGAAAGTAATAAATTTGGCATCTTAGAAAAGTAATACAGTTCGCCCTACCACCATGTATAGTGTAATAAAACACACTTTCGCCCTGAACAATTATAACGTTAAAGCACTCGGACGCAAGCATCCTCGTGCTTTAACTATAATAGTTCAGGGCAAAAGTGTGTTTTATTACACTATACATGGTGGTAGAGCGAAGTGTATTTCTTAAATTACGCATATTTCCACACATACATCACTGTCTCCCCAACCTGTACAGGTTGGTAGTCTATGGGCATCCCTGGCAACAGTGGAGATGTATTGCAGTATTACACATATTTCCACACATACACCACTGTCTCTCTAACCTTTACAGGTTGGTAATCTCTGAGCATCCCTGGCAACAATGGAGATGTATTGCAGTATTACACATATTTCCACACATACACCACTGTCTCTCTAACCTTTACAGGTTGGTAATCTCTGAGCATCCCTGGCAACAATGGAGATGTATTGCAGTATTACACATATTTCCACACATACATCACCGTCTCTCCAACCTTTACAGGTTGGTCATCTATAGGCATCCCTGGCAACAGTTTGGATGCATTGCAGTATTACACATATTTCCACACATACATCACTGTCTCTCCAGCCTGTACACGTTGGTAATCTATAGGCATCCCTGGCAACAGTTTGGATGTGTTGCAGTGTTACACATATTTCCACACATACACCACTGTCTCTCTAACCTTTACAGGTTGGTAATCTCTGAGCATCCCTGGCAACAATGGAGATGTATTGCAGTATTACACATATTTCCACACATACATCACCGTCTCTCCAACCTTTACAGGTTGGTCATCTATAGGCATCCCTGGCAACAGTTTGGATGCATTGCAGTATTACACATATTTCCAAACATACATCACTGTCTCTCCAGCCTGTACACGTTGGTAATCTATAGGCATCCCTGGCAACAGTTTGGATGTGTTGCAGTGTTACACATATTTCCACACATACATCACTGTCTCTCCAACCTGTACACGTTAGGTAATCTCTGGGCATGCCTGGCAACAGTGGAGACGTATTGCAGTATTACACATATTTCCACACATACATCACCGTCTCTCCAACCTTTACAGGTTGGTCATCTATAGGCATCCCTGGCAACAGTTTGGATGCATTGCAGTATTACACATATTTCCACACATACATCACTGTCTCTCCAGCCTGTACACGTTGGTAATCTATAGGCATCCCTGGCAACAGTTTGGATGTGTTGCAGTGTTACACATATTTCCACACATACATCACTGTCTCTCCAATCTGTACACGTTAGGTAATCTCTGGGCATGCCTGGCAACAGTGGAGACGTTTTGCAGTATTACACATATTTCCACACATACTCACTGGTTGTAGCGACCATTCTCAGACCTTTGCAACAGTGCTATATTTCTATAACATACTTTTTCTTAAGATTCGGTGGAGGGATGGGGTGTGCTAGTTACTTTATTTAGACTTTGAGAACAGTGAGTGAGTGAGTTGGGGTTGACGCCGCTTCTAGCAATATTCCAGCGGGGGCACTAGAAAGAAATGGGCTTCATACACTGTACCCATGTGGGGAATCGAACCCGGGCCTTCAGCATGACGAGTGAACGCTTTAACCACTGGGCTACCCCACCGCCCCTACATGGAGAGGTGTCTAGTCTGGATAAATCTGGGCACATTCTGGAATAGACCAGTGACATCTGACCAGGAGAATTAAAATGGTGCCGGTCTTGCCTCAGTCAGCTCTCATTACAGGACGACAATAGGCGAATCCAGAGGGGAAGGGTGTGTAGGGGGGCACCTTGCCTCTTTTGTCCATGTGGAATTGGGGGTGTTGAAACCTACCTGCTTCTTATTTGGAGTAGGAGAATTTACGTCTCAAGGTTTGACCCTTGTAGTTAATTTATTCACTTTCACAACGACACAAAATGTATGTCATTAACCAGGGATCTCACATGGGACATATTATGTAAAGTAGGTTTAATAAAACGCGTGACGGGCAAAGATATCTTCCTTCGAGGGTATCTTACCTCTTTTGTCCATGCCAGTACCACAAAGATGCTGAATCCATCTGTCAGGACAGCACGATTTATCAAGCTGTTTCAGTTGTTTGCAGGCGATGTCAGAGCTATTGGGGAACACCAAAGAAAAGGATGAGAACAGGATCTCACCCCACACAATGCTGGTGATGATGACCACGATCATGTTCACGCAAAGAGAATACTTCTTCCCATCAAGGTTTAAGACACAATTGAGTTGGGTCTTGATAATGACGATACACCGAGTATAGCAAGCTGATGAATCATAGATCTCGCGTTTTACACTGTTGACTGGCTTTCTTGAAAATACACAGCGACAGATATATTTCCACATTGTGCCGGTCATAAAAATGCACGGCGATATATATTTCCATGGCAACCGCAACGTCTTGTGAGGAGGCATAACAAAAAGAAACATATTTTGGTAAAACTGATCAGACAATTAATATTGAATGCCCCTTGTCAAGGTAACTACTAAGACACGCACAATGCTGCACGAAAGGTATCATCAGGTGTATATAGTTGTAATATCAATGCTACTGTGACATCCAAACGATACTCAGCACAGCCAGGATTGAAAAATAGAGATTTCCATGGCATTAAATTATATTACCAAGCAAGTTTGTCCTTTCAGAGAAACAACTTCTATCAGAGTATATCATTAGTTATACCTAACTCAAGGGAACCGCTAATTCGTTTCGTGGTAACTGTAGTTCCTTATACGTGTTTCAACGAATTGTGAGCAGGGACATTGCCTGTATAAGGTCACCTTGCTTTAAGACAGTCATTGGCATTTTTTTTTAAGCAAATGAAAGAGTATCCTTATGATGTGACTCACTGCTGTTAACGAAACATTGTCATTGGAAGTCTGGAAGGTGGGGAATCTCTACCTGCCGTTGCGCCGCACGTCAATGATCACCAGAGTACCACCAGTCGTTAATGGGACCGATATCAGCAAACCAATTCTACGCAAGATCGGCCTCTAAGTTGAAGGCCTCGGATTACCACTGTAACCCAGGATAGGTACATCCCAGTATATCATTTGCGGAGTCGAACTGTCCCACTAAGGCCCGGATCCACCAACTGTATCACAATAAAATCAACCTTGACTTCCTAGCACGACGCCTCTGACAGCTCGCCCACTAAGGCCCGGATCCACCAACTGTATCACAATAAAATCAACCTTGAATTACTAGCACGACGCCTCTGACAGCTCGCCCACTAAGGCCCGGACCCACCAACTGTATCAAAATAAAATCAACCTTGAATTACTAGCACGACGCCTCTGACAGCTCGCCCACTAAGGCCTGGATCCACCAACTGTATCACAATAAAATCAACCTTGAATTACTAGCACGACGCCTCTGACAGCTCGCCCACTAAGGCCTGGATCCACCAACTGTATCACAATAAAATCAACCTTGAATTACTAGCACGACGCCTCTGACAGCTCGCCCACTAAGGCCCGGACCCACCAACTGTATCACAATAAAATCAACCTTGAATTACTAGCACGACGCCTCTGACAGCTCGCCCACTAAGGCCCGGATCCACCAACTGTATCACAATAAAATCAACCTTGAATTACTAGCACGACGCCTCTGACAGCTCGCCGAATAAGGCCCGGATCCACCAACTGTATCACAATAAAATCAACCTTGAATTACTAGCACGACGCCTCTGACAGCTCGCCCACTAAGGCCCGGACCCACCAACTGTATCACAATAAAATCAACCTTGAATTACTAGCACGACGCCTCTGACAGCTCGCCCACTAAGGCCTGGACCCACCAACTGTATCACAATAAAATCAACCTTGAATTACTAGCACGACGTCTCTGACAGCTCGCCCACTAAGGCCTGGACCCACCAACTGTATCACAATAAAATCAACCTTGAATTACTAGCACGACGCCTCTGACAGCTCGCCCACTAAGGCCTGGACCCACCAACTGTATCACAATAAAATCAACCTTGAATTACTAGCACGACGCCTCTGACAGCTCGCCCACTAAGGCCCGGATCCACCAACTGTATCACATTTAAATGGGGAAGCAAAATAAGATACTCAAATCAGTTACTTCAACAAAGTGTCACATAATAAATAAAACAAACACGACAGCGATGATTTAATAATGGTTCCACCTGCCAAAGTGACATGTACTACTTCTAACGAAATCCTGCCTGTGTGGTACAAATCTAAATCTAATGGTATCACATGCTAGACATTTATATCACAGATTATTACCAGGATAAGCAGAACATGCCTTTCCTTTCACAATGTATGCAACACAATGAGATTTTACCGGCTCCGTAGCTCACCTTTATGTGTCACAGTATGAATCACTACAAAGATTGTGGGCAACTCAACAATGTTCTAAATATACAAGAACTAATGTAAAAAGACAATGTATTAGAGTTAAGCGAATGTACACAAGGTCGTAAGTATCATGCTTGCCGTAAAAGGCGAATAACTGGATTGGGGCCTCTATCGTGTCAGCTTTGATGATCGATGCTCATGATGTCAATCACATGATTGATTTGTCCAGACTTGAATAACTACCTTTGTCGTAATGGAATAAACTGTTGAAGGAGACTAGACAGAGATATAACCGATCAGGGATATTTGAGCTGCAATCGTTTGATGAGGGTGAAGTCCACTTCAATGGCGTCGGCCTGCTGTACTGGAACCCTTATTGGACCAGTGAACAGATTGTTGTCATCAACAGATATCTGAAATGATCATGAACCAATATGTTTATTACACAGGCTGTGGCATCGTACGACGCACGCGCGCGCACAAACACACACACACACACGCACACCCTCCCTCCTCCCCTCCTTGGTCTTCACTAACCCATGCTTTGGTCGGATGGTTAGGCTCACTGACTTGGTATCCCAACGGCGTAGATTGATGTTGATGCTTTTGATCACTGGACTCTCTGGTCCAGACTCAGTTATTGAGAGACCGCCACCATATAGCTTGAATATAGCTGAGTGCGGTGATAAACAACGACCATCCAACCGGTCTAACACCGTTATCAAGCAAGTGATAAACAAACTGACGATTCAGAGATTTACATCTCACCCTACTTGTATATATGTCCCTCTATCGTCATTCTGTTCATCACTTTCTCAATAACGGTTTAGAACCTACACCGAAACGTCGCTCTCACTGTAATAGAGACGGCGTTCATCCCTATATTATTACAGCCTACGTACCAGGAACTCGGTGTCTGTGATCTTGATGGAGAGGTTTGAGATGACGTTGGGCGTGAGGACTACATTTGGATGGCTCAGTGCCGTTGACCACACGCCAGATGACCGTGTATTGAAGCCTATGTCCATTGTGTCCCATCGTACAACCAAAGACAGAGCCAGTGTGCTGTCACCATTTACATGAAGACGCACCCAGTTTCGACTGAAAAGAGAGATGTCACCCATTTAAAAATACCAGAACCCTCACACTGTCAGTTAGACTTAGTGCAAACCTCTCTTTCAAAGTCATTGAATATAACAACGCCAAATACCGGGCTCCATTCCCCACACAGGTACAATGTATTGAGCCTTTTGTCTGATGTGGAATATTGATGAATGCGACGTGTAACCATACTGACCCATTTACATTGCTCATCTAATTGTATCCTCACATACACATGTCTACAGTAGTCCACGAAACAGACTGCTCTCGGATTACATTTACCTTTTAGTGGGAAGTATACGGCCCAAGTTGCCAGCAAGGTCCTAGTTTGTTACCAGCCACTCTCCCCCGTCCATTTATTGCTGTATGAACGGAAGCATATTTCATACAAGGTCAGTTGACAAAAGAGACCATAACTATAGTTATTATGTGTAGTCGATAAGCTGTTGTCATAAGGACACATAACATGTACAACATGAACCTTCCCCTGTTTATGTCTTGTCTGACCTGTAGGCGAGAAGCTGTGGTCATAAGGAGACATAACATGTACAACATGTTATCTTCCCCTGATTACGTCTTGTCTGACCTGTAGGCGAGAAGCTGTGGTCATAAGGAGACATAACATGTACAACATGAACCTTCCCCTGTTTATGTTTTGTCTGACCTGTAGGCGAGAAGCTGTGGTCATAAGGAGACATAACATGTACAACATGAACCTTCCCCTGTTTATGTCTTGTCTGACCTGTAGGCGAGAAGCTGTGGTCATAAGGAGACATAACATGTACAACATGAACCTTCCCCTGTTTATGTCTTGTCTGACCTGTAGGCGAGAAGCTGTGGTCATAAGGAGACATAACATGTACAACATGAACCTTCCCTGTTTATGTCTTGTCTGACCTGTAGGCGAGAAGCTGTGGTCATAAGGAGACATAACATGTACAACATGAACCTTCCCCTGTTTATGTTTTGTCTGACCTGTAGGCGAGAAGCTGTGGTCATAAGGAGACATAACATGTACAACATGAACCTTCCCCTGATTATGTCTTGTTGATATGTAGTGAGAAGCTGTGGTCACGAAGAGACGTGGTATGCACGATATGAACCTTCTCCTATGTTTCGTGTGACCTATAGGCTGGAAGCTGTGGTCATAAGGAGACATAACATGTACAACATGAACCTTCTTCTGTGTATGTCTTGTCTGACTTGTAGGCGAGAAGCTGTGGTCATAAGGAGACATGACATGTACAACATGAACCTTCCCCTGATTATGTCTTGTCTGACCTGTAGGCGGGAAGCTGAGGTCATAAGGAGACATAACATGTACAACATGGACCTTCCCCTGTTTATGTTTTGTCTGACCTGTAGGCGAGAAGCTGTGGTCACAAAGAGACATGACATGTACAACATGAACCTCCCCTTGTTTATGTTTTGTCTGACCTGTAGGCGAGAAGCTGAGGTCATGAGGAGACAAAACATGCACCTTCTATGTGTGTGACCTGTAGGCGAGAAGCTCTGGTCACAAAGAGACATGACATGTACAACATGAACCTTCTCATGTTGATGTCTTGTCTGACCATTACAATTGCTCTAGTCGTGTTCACTGACATCAGATCTAAGGCCAGTTCCAATGGTACAGCATGTATTACTTCAATATTTAATTCTCTTTTGTCTTATTCATACACTCTTAAAAAAAATAGGGGAATCTTAACTTTGGATAGGAAGAACACACTTTTCAAAGTGTGAAACATCTTATGAACGCACAACCATTTCTCTTTATCACCACCCCTAAACACAACGCATGGAATGCACGTGCACAACGCAGTAACTCCATACAAGTTCATGGGTTGTCATTCTGGACTTTGACTGCGATATCAAGAAGGTCGATAAATCATTGTTGACCATAACTTAATAATTAATTAATGATCTTGCATAATAATAACATCTTGCTCCGATATAGCTGACTTATTCATTAGATTCATCTTCTACGTGGGACAAGTCAGCCATCAGATAGCCCGACTAATCAAGAGCAAAGCGGGCTTTGATGTAACTTTCTCTAGCGGTACAACAATTAAGACACTCCTCCGGGCAAATGGAAAAGGATCTAGCAATGGAAGCCCCAACCCTAGAGGATGTGTATACCAAATACCATGCAGCTGTGGCGATCAATATATTGGCGAGACTCTCAGGCCCATTAACACCCGGGTTGCTGAGCTCAAGTCGTCTGTATGCAAACAAAATGATTAGTCAGCTGTATCGGAGCACAAGGCAAATAACCCAAGTCATGTAATCCTATGGAATGATATCAGGGTGCTTTCGAGAAATAACAACGACTGGCGTCGGAGAAAACTACAGGAGGCTGTGAAGATAAGGAGACATAAACCAGCAATGAATCGTGATCAAGGTGTATACCTGCCAAGTGCGTGGGACCTCTTGCTTAACTTTTGATGAACTTTAGATAAAAGAAAATCGAGTCTACTATTCTTTTTGGAAAACCTGCTATCAAGTAACTTTTCTGTAATTAGCAGTTGTTGTGTATTGACAATTCCACTTTAAACTCTATTATCTAGCATGAATTTTCATCATTATGTAATTAACTCTTCAAAATCACTTATACAATAGTCTCCCTAGTGTACTGTGATGTCACTTGCATTGTTATGACGTCATAATGACGACGTCATAGTCCTAACTGCCAGTTCACCTGATGAAGGAACCTGGAATGGTCTCGAAACGTCGTGAGAGAAATTAAAAAGAAGTTTAATCTATAAAAATATCTTGGATATACTGAAGCAGTATCCAAAATTATCGTAACAACATGTAATACAAAATGTTGATTGTTGTAAACTTTACAAACACCTACTTGGTGACTCCATCTGCGGCTGCCTCCACGATAATCTCCGTTCCAGTGGACAGAAGAGCAGGAAGAGGCGTCCTGAATACTCGAACCTGTTGTAAAGAAGACAGTGAGCAGGTGTGTGTTACATAACAACTAGACAGGGGTGCAGGGAGAGACGTCCTGAATACTCGCACCTGTTGTAAAGAAGACAGTGAGCAGGTGTGTGTTACATAACAACTAGACAGGGGAGCAGGGAGAGACGTCCTGAATACTCGAACCTGTTGTAAAGAAGACAGTGAGCAGGTGTGTGTTATATAACAACTAGACAGAGAAGCAGGAGAGGCGCCCTGAATATACCTGTTGTAAAGAAGACACCAACTACACGGGGTGCAGTAAAGAAGACACCTGTTGTAAAGCAGGACAGTGAGCAGGTGTTGTTATAACAAACCTAGACAGAGGGAAGCAGGAAGAGGTACCCTGTAAAAGACAGTGAGCAGGTGTACCTGTTACATAAAGAAGACAGTGCAGGCAGAGACGTGTGTGTTACATAACAACAGTAGACAGTGTGGTTATATAAAAAGGAAGCAGGGAGGCGCGTCCTGAATACTCGTACCTGTTGTAAAGAAAGAAGACAGACAGCAGGTGTGAATACAGTAGCATAGCAACTACATAGTGTAGGGACTCCTGACAGAAGGAGCAGGTTACATAAAAGAGGACGTCCTGAATACTCGCACCTGTTGTAAAGAAGACAGTGCAGCAGGTGTGTGTTACATAACAAACTAGACAGAGGGTGCACTAGACAGGGAGAGGCGTCCTGAATACTCAAACCTGTTGTAAAGAAGACAGTGAGCAGGTGTGTGTGTTACATAACAACTAGACAGAGGAAGCAGGAAGGAGGCGTCCTGAATACTCGTACCTGTTGTAAAGAAGACAGTGAGCAGGTGTGTGTTATATAACAACTAGACAGGGGTGCAGGGAGAGGCGTCCTGAATACTCGTACCTGTTGTAAAGAAGACAGTGAGCTGGTGTGTGTTACATAACAACTAGACGGGGTGCAGGGAGAGACGTCCTGAATACTCGTACCTGTTGTAAAGAAGACAGTGAGCAGGTGTGTGTTACATAACAACTAGACAGGGGTGCAGGGAGAGGCGTCCTAAATACTCGCACCTGTTGTAAAGAAGACAATGAGCAGGTGTGTGTTATATAACAACAAGACAGGGGAGCAGGGAGAGGCGTCCTGAATACTCGTACCTGTTGTAAAGAAGACAGTAGCAGGTGTGTGTTACATAACAACTAGACAGGAGTGCAGGGAGAGGCGTCCTGAATACTCGTACCTGTTGTAAAGAAGACAGAAGCAGGTGTGTGTTACATAACAACTAGACAGGGGTGCAGGGAGAGACGTCCTGAATACTCGCACCTGTAGTAAAGAAGACAGTGAGCAGGTGTGTGTTACATAACAACCAGACAGGTGTGGTGCAGGGGTGCAGGAGAGACGTCCTGAATACTCGCACCTGTTGTAAAGAAGACAGTGAGCAGGTGTGTGTTACATAACATCTAGACAGGGGTGCAGGGAGAGACGTCCTGAATACTCGTACCTGTTGTAAAGAAGACAGTGAGCAGGTGTGTGTTACATAACAACTAGACAGGGGTGCAGGGAGAGACGTCCTGAATACTCGTACCTGTTGTAAAGAAGACAGTGAGCAGGTGTGTGTTACATAACAACTAGACAGGGGTGCAGGGAGAGGCGTCCTGAATACTCGTACCTGTTGTAAAGAAGACAGTGAGCAGGTGTGTGTTATATAACAACTAGACAGGGGTGCAGGGAGACGTCCTGAATACTCGTACCTGTTGTAAAGAAGACAGTGAGCAGGTGTGTGTTATATAACAACTAGACAGGGGTGCAGGGAGAGACGTCCTGAATACTCGTACCTGTTGTAAAGAAGACAGTGAGCAGGTGTGTGTTACATAACAACTAGACAGGGGTGCAGGGAGAGACGTCCTGAATACTCGTACCTGTTGTAAAGAAGACAGTGAGCAGGTGTGTGTTACATAACATCTAGACAGGGGTGCAGGGAGAGACGTCCTGAATACTCGTACCTGTTGTAAAGAAGACAGTGAGCAGGTGTGTGTTACATAACAACTAGACAGGGGTGCAGGGAGAGGCGTCCTGAATACTCGTACCTGTTGTAAAGAAGACAGTGAGCAGGTGTGTGTTATATAACAACTAGACAGGGGAGCAGGGAGAGGCGTCCTGAATACTCGCACCTGTTGTAAAGAAGACAGTGAGCAGGTGTGTGTTATATAAGAACTAGACAGGGGTGCAGGGAGAGACGTCCTGAATACTCGTACCTGTTGTAAAGAAGACAGTGAGCAAGTGTGTAGGTGTGTGTTACATAACAACTAGACAGGGGAACATGGAGAGGCGTTCTGAATACTCGCACCTGTTGTAAATAAGACAGTGAGCAGGTGTGCGTTGAGGTAAAGTAAACTTTTATGTCTCTTGTATATCAGAATCTCGTTGGTGTTTTAGAAAATGTTTCTTTCAATACCCGCACCTTTTATCTTGATGAACTAATTTACGCTTTTTCCACCTTTTTCCGTCAAAGAAAACTTTATCATTTTATAAATGAAACTACAGAAATCTTAAAATCTGGAGCAATGAAAAACAAATCCAAGAAGAATGGCACTGAGACTAACATTTTCTGTGCGGTGGTGAGTTTGTAACGTTACTTGTAGCAGGGAGCGGTCGTACATGCTATTAATGTGTCACTGAATGATTTGAGATATGTGTGTCCATTGGCTATTACGCTTTTTCTACCTATCCTACAGATCCTTTTTAGAATTTGTCATCCGTAACCCATGCTTGTCGTAATAGGCAACTAACGGGATCCGGTGATCAGGCTCGCTGACTTGGTTGACACATGCCATCGTATCTTAAATGACTAGATAGATTCTCATGGTGTTCATCACTGGATTGTCTGGTCCAGACTCGATTATGTAGAGACCGCCGCCCTATAACTGGAATATTACAGAGTGCGGCGTTAAAACAACAAAACAACCAACTGCCCCCTAGCTTTTACTACCCCGTCCCAATACTGGCAACTGTCAGGAGAGCATCGTTGCTGTATGGCTCTCAATGTTGATAAGATGTTAATTTATTTAAGAGACTTTTTTCATTCATTGTGATCAAAATGTGTTTTTAGGTTTATTTAGAACCATGACAAAGTCTCCTCCACCCGTTAGTTTGATTATCAGAGTAACATTATAATCATGAAGTGATGTATGTATTGAAGGACGTGCACATAATTGTTTCAAAATATGCATCACCGTACCGGGTCAATCCAGAGGGTCTGCATGCACCGTCCTATGTCTAAGGGTACGTTGTCATGGAAACATTTGCCTGACGTGGTCTGTAGATAGGAGAATCCGTTGGAGCAGCTGACATCCTCGTGGGTCTGGTTCCTCATCACCGATAGTGCATTCAGGATCCGGAGGTCGCTGCAGGCAACTAAACAAATCCGATTCCACATCAGTCTCATCATGAACTACTTGTTGGTAATTCCGACCTCACAATACAACACACAACGCTGAGACAGTTATTTGTGTAAAAAGTTTTGTTTTGCTCCTTTGAGTGAGTGAGTGAGTGACAACGCCACTTTCAGCAATTTTCCAGCAATATCAATATTGGGACAACATAAATGGGCTTCACACATTGTACCCATGTGTGGTGACGAATCCGTGAGGAGCAAATACTTTAACCACTTGGCTGTCCTACCTCCCTGCTCCTTTGACATAAGGTAACACCTCTTGGTGGTTTGGCAAATACGTCATCAACGTTCAATGCTTGTTTTATGTGACGACTTTTGTTCAAGTTTGTTAGATGTTGATCTATGTGTATTCCAGCTACATGGCAGCGGTCTGGAAATAATCGAGTCTGGACGAGACAACTGATAAACAACCGATAAACAACTGATAAACAACTGGGGCGTTGATGTAGGATAAGATGACATGTGTCAACCAGGGCAGCGAGTCTCACTAGCCGATCCTATCTGTCGCCGTTTACAACAATAGGTTGCTGAAGATCAATTCTAATCCGGATCTTCACGGGTACTCAGTTCTGAGTGGATGTTTAACTTGGATTAAAACATGTGTCACCATGTCAGGCTTCCGTGACAGAGATTACGTGCGAAGTACCAGTGAGTGACAATACATCCAAATATTCCAATATCAAACATCCGCATATCTAACGTGTTATCGACAATCAAAAATAATGTTCTGACGCGGTCTATTGATCGTTGTTTTCTATGCCAGAATGAAAAGAAATCTGGATTCTTGACAATATTGATTTACTGATAAAAGCATTGGGTTATTTTCACATACCAAGATCAAGTAGATGACTTTGTTCATGTTATGAATGGTTCCCTGTTTGAGTGAGCTGAAATTACCTTGTCGCATCGTCATTGTTTCAGCCATATAGCACAAGGCTAAATCTGTGCACATACAGAAGACCAGTCTCAACACAAATCACAAGAGAGTGTCTTAAAATGCATATTTCTTCAAATTGTAGAGACCAATTTCTCAAAGAGTTTACAATGAGATGCCAGCTCACATGGGAAAACAGATCTTTCAGATTTACTGCATGATAGTGTGAATTCAATGCATTTGAAAACCCAACACAGTCAAGCAGAATATGCCTGATGATAAACACTTTATCACAGGAGATGCACTTAGGAGGTCCATCTTCATCTGTTTTAATCAGATAGTAATGAGTAAACCGACTGTGGCCAATACGACATCGTCGTAAAACTACCTCATCGCGTCTTGACCTACTGATGTTGATGTCTGGATTATATGGCACTAACTCGTATATTTACATACTTGTATTTACTGGGATTGATTTTATTATAAAACACTGCCGGGTTTACAAAGAACGTATTTAGTTAAATATCTCATGAATGATATTTTATCACAACTAAGTCAACATGTTTTGTTTTATTTCACGTAAGAAAAACCTGGCCTGAAATTCTTGACATACCAAGCCAACAATAGTCAGTAGACTTTCAATCACGTTTAGTCATAAAGCGTATCCACCTCGTGATCAAGATACTCA